GGAATTTTTTTTTCAGAAAACCATATGAACAATGTTAATCACAAACTTTTACATGGGCAGACAAAATTATACATGGTGATATTTTTACGAGTGATGAGTGAGGTTCATGATTTAGTGGATTTTTTTGTGGAGTACATGCAGTTGCATTCAATTAATGTTCCTTGATTTTACTTTTTTCGACTTCTGGTTTATAAATGACTACAACATAAAATAATAAATGATCTTTTTGAGTCATAAAATGTTGTGACTTCAAGGTTAAAGGAGTTTGTATGATAACTCCTAAACTCAGTTGTGATTTTTTGATATTTTAAAAGTCATTACCCTCTAATATTATGGTATCTTCTGATATATTTAGCCTATAATAATAATACAAGTGAGATCTTCTGAGGTTATGACATAGCAATAGCTCTTTAACACAAAAGAATCCTATTTTAATATAAAATGACAGGTAAATCCGTAAAATCTATTTAGATGAGGAAAAACTTGCAGTCAAATTTAGACTAGTAAACGTCCTCCATATTGCATGCATGCTCCTCGGCTAAGATATTTGGTGAATTACCTAAATTAAAAAAAAAACTTGTACATTCTAAATAATTGGTTGTTTAATAATCCATTAATTGTTGGAAGACAAAAAGAAAGATATGAAGTAGTCTTTTGGAAATTATGGGTCAATTTAGGAGGACTCGACGTGTGGGTTCCGCGTGTCGGCCAATACTTTTCGCTTGAGCGATCCGTCGACCCCTGACCCAATCAAGATAGACCCAGTTCGCAAATCAACCACTAATTTAATATTGTCAATTAGCTCTGAACTCTCAAGTTTCAAGCATTTCCCTTCACCCGCTTTGTCAAGGGATCCTCACGGGCTACCCACGTGTCCCGGTTGAGCTTGCAAGTCACTATCTCGAACATTCATTAGAAATATATAAGTAACAGTCCAGAAAGCAAATGATGCGTTTTTATTGATTTGTTAGAATATAAACATATATTACCCTCGATCTTTAGTGTAGCGTTAGATTTTTTTTTTTTTATGCGATTGTTAGAGATCACTTTAAGAATTATCCTACCGGAGTATGCTAAAAATGATTTCCATCTGTCTTCTCCCGAGGGAAAAGAATGATCTCCACTTCCCTAGCTAGCAAATGATGTTTTGCACGTGAAGATTTCCAGTTCAAGTTTTCTAATCCTTAATTAAAAGTACTAAATATTAAAGCTTGAAGTACGTGTATGCACAGTTTTTAAGCATCTAGTTTGGAAACATTAGAAGAAACTTTTGATGATTGGTAGGTACTACATACGAATAAAGCTCTAGTATAACTTAAATTGATAGGAGTATTTGTCCATCAATTTTTGTATCTTTTGAGATAATTTGTGTTAGCACGTAATACACATCAAGGCGTGCATCTCAAAGATAACATTGATTTGTATCACTTGCCAACGTGAGTCTCAAAGTAAATTCAATGAATAAATAAGTTGATGTATACAGTCTCCAATCAACTTAAGTTTATTCTAGCTTTACTTATACTAATTAAGAGCATTTGCTACATAGATTTGTTAGTATTTGTTCTTAGACTAAAGCTTTCATTAAACAAGCTTACAATAGAGGTAACATAAAATAATAATAATAATAATAATAATAATCTAATGGTTAAGGTAAAGAAATTAGCAACGACAAGAACTTTTTGCCCCGAATCGGCTACATGAATCCAATTTTACAATTTCTTATCTATCATGATATATCTTCTCCACTTTTAACCACATTTTCTAATTGGTGCATTTAGTACGACTCCTTGGATATAATCAAATTATCATCCTAGAGACTCTTTCTTTTATAAAGTTAAGAAGGAGAAAAAAAGAATTATACTTAATTATCAAATAGTTTCTACGCATGTAATCCATTCATACATATTAATTGAAAATAATCGCTCATCCACTCCACTACAAATGAGAAGAATTGGATTGATGAACATCCACAATGAAAAAGATAGTGGCAGCCAAAAAAAAGCTTATTGTGATTAATAGAAGTAAAAAAAAAAAGATATATACGACAAGTACTGTTTGGAATACTACCCGCTAAGGCTACGCAAAAACCCTTAAAAACAGCAGAAATGCGGTATAAAGAAAAGTACACAAGATTTACGAGGTTCGGCAACTGCCTACGTCCTCGGGAGCCACACAGTAAATTTCTTATTAATCAAACAAGAAATTACAATTCAAAAAGCAAATCTCAAAACTGAGATTTCTCAAAATGAACACTGTAGCTACAGTGTTAATAATTAAAGGGAATAATCCCTTTCAATTCTCTCTTGAAAATAAATAATATTCCACAATATAAACCCCCTTTCAATTCCTCTCTCTTCTTAAATCATTTTCTTAATCTCCCCTCAAAAGAACAATTGAGTGCCGGAGATGGGAACGCTGCTGCGTTTTGGTTGCCGCCAGAGAAAAAATCGGAGGGGGGAAAAAAGCACCAAACCCTAGGGCATCAAAGGGGGTTATATAGGCGAACATGACAGGCTGGCGACAGCCTGTCGCCAGCCACGCGAGCGGCCCGCTT